TTATTTCCTATCTTATCGTCATCCTTATATCTGTCCTCATGTCTATTATAATCCTCATCCTCACTTTTTTTCCCTCATGATTATGCTCATGCTCATCCTCTTTCTCATCCTCTATCTCATCCTGTATCTACGTCATGCGATTGTTATGTTCTTTTTTTTAGAGAACCCAGAGACGACTAACAGCACGCAAGAGGGGCGCGCCTTCAGTCTAGCCCGTCGCTACTTCACCGCCTGCCTAAACACCAGTGCCGTTGAGGACCGCGGCTTTCGGCCGGCCAAAGACATGCTTACTCGTCTCTTCTCCGGCTGGGCACTTTTGCCCACCGACCAACCTGGCTCCAGATTGCCGAATGATACGAGTCTGGTGCCGGGCATTTTTGACCTCACCGAGGCTTACGCCCGTTTGTTGGAGTACGGTAGGTCGAACAGCCTCTTCTCTATGCAACTCGACCTTGATGCAAAGAGTCCTACTGTGATACGGATCTACGTGAGTACTTCACTGCCTAAGTTGATTTAATGAATGAAAGATTAGTTTTCACATAATTAGTGGAGCGGGCCTGAGCCTTGCTTCCCAAAAGGATTCGCACAATCCTTTGACGATGAAAGATAATCTGTAGTCAGCTGCAACGGAGGAGGGAATAATCTTAGCTGTAGAAAAATGTGCCGAACTACGAGAATTTGACAGTATCTACAGAATTTCAGAATCGCAATTTTTTAATGGTATTGATGTAATTCTGTTGAAAAAGGTCCTCTTAAGACCTTGGGTCTAATTCGGGCTAAATTTAAGGTTTGCACGAATGTCTGATGAAAGAGAGTAGGTTTTACGCAGTACCAAACAGCCAAAATATGGCAGATGCCAGGCAGTCAAATTTTCAGCCGACTAGGTGTCTGAGTCTGTATGAACAGATTGTCTAATGTATGGTTAGAACACACTCATCTACCGGCTTGTTGGTCAATACGTCATAAGCTTTTGGTGGTCTCAATAGGGGTACCAGGCGGTCTTCCATCATCGTTTTATAATAAAGGCTGAATAAAGTTGCAAGAGTATAACTTTATGCTTCAAATATATAAACAAAATGTATGAGTTGTAA